GTGTGTGTGTGTGTGTGTGTGTGTGTGTGTGTGTGTGTGTGTTGGGGGTGGGGGAGCAGATGCTTTGCTGAAGGTCAAGTGCTCACTTATGCATATTCAAAGCGGCCACCCATCGATCTGTACTTAATTGTTTTCCTGGGGTTGGGGAAGGAAGTGCTGGGGGCATCGATCTGCTCAGGCCCCTAGCACTCCATTGCCCCCTCCATTCCCTACAGTGCCACCTGGCAGCCAGCAACCTCCATCTGGGGGGAACACAAGGCAGGATGGGAACAGCATGACTGTCCTTACAGGCACGACTACCTGATGTCACAGATGAGGAAACTAAGGCCCAGAAAGAAGAAACTCACATGGGTTACAATGCAATGATGTGGCCAGGCGGAATTTAATTCTTGCTCAGCCTGCCAACAAAATCCTGGGCTTCTGTCAATGAGCCTGGTAGCTGGTTGACCCCCCTCAAACAATACCCATTCCTTCATTTGAGAACTTCCGAAGTTCCCAAACACTAGGCTGCCCTTCTCCCCATGGCAGGAAGGTAATAACATGAGGGACAGTAGCAATGGGAAACAAGCTTGGATGAGATCCCAGAAGTTGGATGGTGGGTTTAGTGATGGAACCACAGTGACTTTCAGGCATGCTCAGACAGGCACTGTAGTATCCCTGACCGCTGCTGGGTCTGGAGGTCCCCGTTCGATTACAAAAAGAGGCGAGCTGGATAGGTTTTTTTTCCCCTCTAAGGGTTCAACATGGAATCAGAACAAGAGACAGGCGGCTGGACACTGTCTGTGTCGGGGCCCAAGGCTGGGCAGAGGGCTAGTTCCCTTCCTTCCCAGGTGGGACCAACCTTCCCACCCCAAAGGTACTAGTAGCCACTGCACTTACACCTCAGAACCTTCTAAAGTAATTTTCTTTGACCACAGAAGTGCCAGCCATAGCCCAAATTTCCAATCAACCCTTCCCAACCATCTCCCAGGCCACAGCTGTATCCACAAATCAGGGGCTGAGAGTGGGACTCAAGGACAGCCCTAGGATGCTGGCCTAGAGCCAGGGTAGACATGGAAAGCAAGGGGACACAGCCAGTGGGAGGGGCACAGCTGGAAGAGCTGCTGAGCATGGCCGGGCTGAGGCTGGAGCTCAGTGGGCCAGAGAGCAGTGGCGGCTGCCTTTCAAGTACTTTAAAATCACTTACAAAAGCCGGATTAAACGATCAGAAATTCCATTTAATAGGACAAATAAAGAAATAACAATCTACTCTATCAGCCTGGAGAAGGCGAGCTGGATAGGTTTTTTTTTCCCCTCTAAAAAGGAAAAAGGGAAGGAAGGGGGAAAAAAGAAGGATAATGTGTGTTTACTCAAGCAAAGAAAAAAATATTTAAGTGATGTCGGGGAGAAGATTGCAGTAACTAGTGAAGAATAACATCGTCTACTTTGCTGTCAAATCACACCCGAATTTCAGTAATAGATTCTCGGCTGACACTCAATTCAATTCGAAGGTGATCCTGCTTTATCCCAGCCCATCAAATATTAAACACTTGCATTAGCAGGTGCTGCCGCTTTCCAGCTTAAAGCGGCGGGCGGGCGTCAGGGCTGCTGAGGCCCCTCTGCTCTGCTCTCGGCTCAGGGACAGGGCAGCTCAGCGTTATCTGCACGTCATCCCGAGTCTTATCGCAGCTAAGCGGGAAGACCACTTCAGATAACATTAGACGCTTGCCCTGACGCGTCACCATGATTAGGTTATTATTATAATTATGACTCCCCAAGATCTTCCACAGACTGGGATGTGTGAAAGGGGGATGGAAGGAAGCAGAGCCCAGGAAGGCCAGGCTGGACTAGGGAAAGCCTGGAGCCTTTGGCAAGAGAGCAGAGGTACCAGGCAAGGTGGCAGGCGGTCCCGCCTGAGGGATGCCTTTCAGGAAGGGCAGTCTAGCTTGTCAGAGCGAGGGCGAGATGAATTGGCGTCTCCACTGCGTGGTGTTATGCCGAACAGTTTCATATTCCCAGATAAGGCATGATAACCAATTGCTGCCGTGACACGGCCTCCTCCAGCACTTCCTGGGGGGGGGCATGGGGTGGGGAGAGGGGGTGGCATGTGCACATGGGTCTGCCAAGCTCCTAATAAGAGGGATTTAATTTTTACAAATGCTGCTTCCAGCGGGGCCTTCACATACCAGCCAAAGTCCAAAATGATATTAAAAACGGTTAATTAAAACTGCTCTCTTTCAGCCTGGGCTCTCTTCCTATTGCCCCTGCTGAGAACCCCGGCATGTCTGAGTGTGTGTGGGGGGGTACTGACACCCCTGCAGAGTAAGCTCCTCCTTTGGATATGATCACCTGCCTCACAGAGCCATCCTTGGCCCATTACCAGGTCCTAGCACCTCAATCCCCCTCACAGCTCCTGACATCTTGGGTACCCCTTGGGCACAGTCACCAGTCAGACAGTCACCCAGAGAACCCAGAGGGTCCTATAGCAACTTGTTCTCCTGCCACTGTATGATCTGGACTATAGCACCTGCTGCCCTTCCATACCTGTACCCATATGCCTACCTCCTCTCCCCCAGATACATACACACCACGGAGTACCCTAACCACTCTGTTTACACACCCATACGTGCCCCAGACCCTCCCTCAGATGACTCTGCCCATCCCTCTGGATGGCCCCCTTTAGAGATTACACCTGTTTATAAACCTTAGCAGAGCCCTTCTAGGAGTCCCGCTCAAGGCAGAGTGACATGGGCTATCACTAGCTCAGGGATTCTGGCCAGGGAGTCAAGGCTGGCACCCAGCGACTCCTCAGAACAGGAGGACCAGGGAGGCCAAACTCTATGGAGGTGTCCACAGGGGACAATGAAGACAAGCAGGTCCATGTGGGGTAGGAGGCGGTTAGGAAAGCTTCCTGGAGGGAGGGAATGAAACTGAAAGGCCACAGTACAGATGACAGAGGAGGACAACATTCTAGGCAGAAAAAAAGACAAAGGAGAAGGGTGTGGCTAGGGCAGTCAACGCAGTCAGAAGGAAGCACATTTTGAGGCTGTGCCACCCAAGTCTGTGTGCCAGCAGCAGGCAGTGCCAAGGGGTCTCAGTCCTCATTTTCACTTATTGCCTGCTTCCTTTCCCACTCTCTCCTTCTCTTCTGCTAGCCTATGGGGAGTTGGGGAGAAGGGGCCCAGAGCTTCCTGACCTTGACTGGGGAGGAGGGTATGCCAGAAATCTGTTTTAAGAGCTCTTTCCAAAACCTTGTCCTGAGCCTCTTTCTCAGTGTTGGTTCCAAATTCCCTGGGTGTCACTTCTCCAGCTGCACCTCTCTCAGTTCTCAAGGTCCACCTGCCCAGCTGTGCAGTCAGCACCTCACTCCTGGTGTTCCTGACCAGAGGATGGGGAGGGTGGAAGGATGACTGAGGAGTTTCCAAGTCTTTCCACAGCAGGCACCAATGATGAGCCATGAGGATAGGTGGAGTTGGTGAAAGATGCTGGGTCTACCAAACCAGCCCACCCCTACCCTGTACCAGGCAGGCACACACATCTTGCTTCCCTTGGGCTGTTGTAATTTCCACGCACAGGGAAGCAGGTGCCGAGCTGCTCCCGGCTGGCTTTCCCCTCTCGTGGCTCTGCCTGCCTTGGCTGCTGCCCCATTAGCTTAGTGGCCAGCCATCTGCGACGGGCCTGCCGCACAGCCTTGCCGTAGGCGCGGCGGGTGGCCCCCTGTGTAACAGGGAGCTTTGCCATTAGCGCCTTTAATATTCTGACACCTCAGCACAGCCTGCTATTACATGCAAACGCTGATCGCCCTGTGAAATTACATTGCTGGGCCCGCGAAATGGAATCGTGTATAATCAGCCTCCTCCATGCACTGTCAGTCCCATCACAAACACGGCGCCCGGCGGCTTACGGGGGCTTAGCAGCTGCGACAAGTGTATTGGGTTTAATAGATGAAGTAGCCCTCATAGGCAGCAGCACCAGATTCTTCAAAGAGGAAAGAAGAGGCATCCACAGCTGCTCTGGTGCCTCTGCCCACCAATATCCTACCTATGAGGGCCCTGAGAGTGGGGTGGACAACAAGTAGGCAGGGTGATGGTTAGGTAAAGGACCAGAACCCAGCTCAGGCTGCAGATGAAGCAGACTGCTCTGCAACTTCCAGAAAAACCCGAGCTCCCAAGCCAGCCCAGAATATCCAGCCTATTCAGCCTCCTCAGGAGGTACGGAGGAGCAAGCCTTTGACCACACACCTCCGGATGACTTGTCAGCCTGTAGACCTAAAACTGATGGGACATTTCCCAAGAGGAAATGTAGGAGCCCAATCCAACCACCTGCCATTCCCTTAACATCCACCAGAGG